TGGTAGCTGCTGACACTTTTAATTTTTCCTGAGAGCTATTAAAATTGTAGAACTTTCGGGATGGTATTGCCACATCACCTTGATGGGCCGAATGATTGAAGAGAACATGTGATAAGGATATTTTCTCTATGATGAAGCACCACGAAAATCCTGAGCTGGCAACTTGTAACGTGGTTGCAGATCAAGTCTCTGAGTTTTAATTGTCCAAGCAACTATAGGTTCTCTTGGAATAGGAAGGTCTCTTTATACTTGCAAATGGAATATTGTGTCCATCTTCCTATCTCTCCAGCAGATAGTACATTACCTCTTAGTTCACTAAAAATGATTGTTGCTTATTTTATATGCCAGAAGAGTTGCTAATGGTGTTTCCCCTTTTCTGGGAACAGTGCAGTAAGAACCAGGAGGGGGATGGGATTTATCTGGTATATGTGCCTCATGGAAGCCAGGAATCTTTGCAGTGACTAAATCCCTAGAGGATAGCTCTTATTGATCATGGTTTGATACTTGGGCACTTAAGAAGTGAAGTTCCTAGGCTTCTATAAGCCTTGCTTTCATGGTTGTTCAATGTCCCAGGCTAGCTAGAGGAAAATGGCTAGTTTGGGGGAGAAATGATCTGTGAGGGAATAGCGTAGTATATTCCAATTTAATACAACTCAGGCAGCCAGTGGCTATCCACTGTCAGTCCTATCTGAGGAAATCAATTAATTTCAGTTATATATTAGGATTTTAACCAAAAGTTGGCATCTGATTAATCAGAGTGAACTAACTTGGTATGCCAGCATCTCTTTACTGTGCACTCTCCTTTATGATTGTGTGGATATGATCAGGTTGATGTCAGCAAATCTATTGTTCTGACAAATGCTAATGTGGGATGGGATTCTGATTTTAAATTCAAATTCACTATACACTATTAACTTTTATAATGTTGTGTGGTTTTGATGGCTTCATTTGCATGATTTTTAAAATATGTATTTCTGGCTACAATTTTAGTATCTGAGTGTTCTTTTATCTAATATAAAATTTTTTTGAGGAGGTTTATTTAAGGGTGTGAAAAGGTTATCAATCTATTTGCAACAGAGATGTATGTGGTTGAATTTCATATGACCTATATGAATCTGTCATCAGGGTAGTATAG